TGATGTAAATGAATAAATATATTTAGCCAAATGTCAACTTCCGTACCACTTGTGTTTTCACAAAATGTTATTATTATATAAACAAGACCGGTGCTCAGTGGGACGTATTATGGTTGACGACGACGATTATGATGATGAGGACGATGATAGAAACCAATTTTATACTCGTATATCGTTACGTCCTTATCGCTTCGTACTAAAAGATTTCGGAACATAAATGGTGAACGGTTTCAGTAATATAATGGTAATAAAAATAGTATCAACATAAAGATACATAAGGCAAGTAAATTAAAAGACCAAATGTCCTGGTGATTCAACCAATTCACAGAAGTGTATGTTTGTATGCCGTGTAGATAAGATGGTGTTAAACTGTGAGAACTAAAGTCGTATGCAAACAGTACAACCGTTTTATCACCATTTTTATTACTCTCTTCATTTACATAAAAAGTTGACGGAATACTTATTGCAGAACCGCACGAGATTAGGTACTTGGATACATACGTATGCGTGAGAATTTCGCATAGAATTCTTAGAGTTTGCATGTTTGTTTGCATTTTCTGTTAATAAATAAACATTAGGATGTATAATGGAAAGTAAGTGTCAAGTCTATTCATTTATTACTGGGATTTTACAGCCTGAAGGGGAAAGTTCGAGAAGATGTTTCCTTAACAGAGTATAATATAAAGTCCAAAATACGTAATGAACTGAAGGTATTTTAATAGCAAGTAGAGAATATTCTAACAAAACAACTTAAGATAAAAAATTAAATGTTCCGTACTCAACAAAAAAAAGCAATTCGTTAATGGACTTCGAATTATTCGATCGATTCAAACATATCGATACATTGTTAATCATCATTTATAGACTATTTATTTTGTATTAAGTTAGGGCTTTTAGGTGTGAACATTAACGCTAAGCACAGTCTCGGTATAATGGTGCCAAAATTTCAAGAAAAAACAAACAAATTCAAATTTTGAGAAAAGAGGTCAAGAAGTATATTCCTAGTTACTGTTCGTAGCTGTAAGTGAATTCTATAATCCATATTCAAAAATCAACAATATTGAAATTATCGGTTTTTTACACAATTTGGTGTTATGTCACGTTTTTAGGTATAGTTGGTGTAGGGCCAAGACCACATCAAGGTTGACACTTTGGACATTATCATCGCCCTTATTGGCAAGCTGCAGAGAGCTGAATTTAAATTTCAAGTGTGGTTTTATTATTTTCAAATATGGAATACCTAACTGTAATTCTGTTGTAAGGAAGTTGGTATATTTCTTGACCTCTTTTCTCCAATTTGATTTTTTTACACTAAAAATTATTGCACCAATTTACCGAGACTGTACTTAGTGTTCTCCACAGTTACATACAGATACTTTTTCGTCGACGTACTTCCTTGAGACGTACAAATTGCGCACTAGCAATAAGTATTGAAAGCTTGAATTCCATGTTTTTTTAAGTCAGGGACAGTGTCATTTGAGTTGCCTTTGATCCTCGTTTGTAACGTAATATTCTAATTTTTTTTACACGTTAAACGTATGCTAGCTTTTTTTTACTTTTCATGGTTTCAAAGAATAGGTACTTTATACAAAATTAATATTTTGAACGCAATGTTCATCTTTATTATTATTTATTTTATTGAGCACTGGCTATAGAGCCATCAGATTAAACAGTTAACAACAACTTAAGAAACTCAAACGTAATAATACTTTTTACTTGTTTCGCTTGTAGCTTTAAATTTAATTGCCTAGATGGGGAATGGTGAATTTAGTAGCAGTAGAGCTCCTTGTGAAAGAGTTCATCTAGGGCAATACGGCCACCTTACCTATTTCTGCCGCCAAGCAGTAATGTCACAATTACTGTGTTCCGGCTTTGAGGGTAAGGGTGCTGGTGAAATTACAGCCACATGGGACTTGTCAACTTATGTCTCGAGGTGACGGGCGCAGTGGCAGTGCCTCTCAGATCTTTACGATTTAAAGCTCTGAGTGACATTGCAACTGATATCAGTTTATATATGGACAGGCGTGTAACTTACCATCACTTACGATTTGTTGGATTGGTTGGTTGTCGTCACTTGACATTATAAAAAAAATTAAATAATGCCGCCGGTGTACGGTCAAATAAAAAATGGTTTTTGTTACACCGTTAGCAGACTAGATTAAAGTTATTCTTCTTGTACCTATTTCTTAATAAATAAATAAAATAACTTGAAAGTAAACATTTTATTTGTAGTGTGAAAACAGTAACTAAGAAACTTGCCATTTTTTTACAGCTGGTTCACTATATTTAACGTATATTAGATACATTTGCAGACAAAATGTTTCTATAACCACTATCGACATGCCTACTATAACCGCATTCTCGTAACTCATAGCTTGTCAGGAACATCTTTTGCGGAGAAAAAAGATTTCCGCAGATTGTAGGTATAGGTAGTTTCAAGATTGCGCTTTGCAAACTTTCTCTCTCTAGAGTGGTAAAGTTTTTACATAAATCAAACTATTATTACTATGTATCGTGATAAAGGGAATATAACTTAGTTTACCTTATAAGATACGCTGATGACTTGGGAATAGGGAATGAACCAATCCATGTAGACAACGCAAGACATTGCAAAGAGTTTTATGCTCCGTACACTCTACACTACCAACAGTTAGGTAGTGTAATATTGATTGTAA